TATCAATGAATTATCAAACTGATGGAGCTCCATGTGGTCCTAAATAGACGTGCCTTGCTGCTCCTATTTTAGCCTAACAAAAGTATCTGTCCAAGCTGTCCATTCAGGATAACAACAAACATACTGTACGCATGGATCAGATCACATTTATTTGTGAACTCACTTGGCAGCTTTCAGTAGCACAACTACCCATTCAGCAATTTCTGGTGGACATCTTCCAAGTTTTTGCTTTAAGTGGATACCTTCCTTGCCCAGAGGAGAATGTTGAATTATGATGAAAGTGAATCTGAATGTGTCCTCTCTCTAACTCACACTCACAGTGAAGATCAGAACTGAGGCTTGACAAGGAGAGAGAGAGAGAAGCTTCTATTTTTAGCATTCATGGGGATGGCAGCGCATCTGAAACATCTAACAGGCATAGTGAGGGAGCACTTATGTAAGAACAGTGCTCAGCAGAAAAGACAGAAAGCTTTGAGGCTCACGTTTAATTGAAAGGAATTTGTCTTGCGCTCTAGTGCCATAGTTAATGCTCAAACCCACTGCAGATAATTGCTTCAATCTACCAATGATCACTGAGCTAGAACTCCATAAAATCTCATAGAATATTGAGTTTGTGCTTAATAAGGTCTGAGAACCGTCAGATTCCCCAGTGGAGACGGAGGGCAAGGTGTCTGCTTTTGATGTGCAGGAAATTGAAAAAGGAAAAAAGGAAAAGAGAGATGGGAAAAAAAACAGAGACTTATTCAGCATCTAAGGACTGGTTTAAACCCAAACACACAGACTGTCTCCCCTCCAATTATTTTTTTTGGTTTTATAGATGATCAGTCAGAAAATGGAGAGTAGTGGTGAGAATGCAGAAAGTGGTCATTCACATAAAAGTGTGCCTTAGTGTTTTTCTGTCTATATAATAAGAGTCAGTGAAGTCCTTGCTGTTTCAGACCCATCATTCCAGATACCTTGTTTTGTGTTCCAAAGAAGAAAGGTAGTCATACAGGTTTGGAATGACATGAGGGCAAGTAAATGATGATATCATTTCATTTTTGAGTGAACTATCCCTTTAAATATCTTTCCTCCCATGTCTGTTATACTATAATGATCTACAATATGTCAGTGCGTTTATCTGCACACCTGATTTGTTTTCATTATGACACTAATGTGTAAGCGTGCACAAGTGAATCTCAGTGTGGAATCAGAGTGGTCATCTCTGAGTGTAAAATATTAGCAGTGGACTGCTTTTCTAACTTCGGTAGAGGATGAAGGTAATTATTCCCCTGTCAAGATGAATGTGCAACCACTGTTTTTGCTACAGTTGACATCGATTTTCTTAGCTTGATGAATAGCGTCGATCAGCTTGCGACGAATGGCTTCAATTTGACTCGATCTTTCTTCTGTCCCCAGCACACACACAAATACAGATCACAATCAATATGGCAATTAAACAAGATCTACTGGAATTTCACCACATGCAAGCTCTATCCAGTTCAATCACTGATTCTTTAGAGTTTAGTTATTAGGGATATGCCGTGGTTAGTCCTGTGAAGCCAGATTATTCACAGCTGGCTTGCTTGCTTGCTTATTTATTTATTTATCTATGTAGGTACAGTATATATATATGTGCACTCTAATGCTGGGTTAAATACAATTGCAATTGGGTTGTTTTGACCCAGCGGTTGGGTTAAATGCTTAACCCAACCTGGGTAGTAACCCAACCGCTGGGTCAAAACGACCCAATTGCTGGGTTTGTCCCTATTTTACCCAGCACTGGGTTGTATTTAACCCAGCATTTTTTGAGTGTGTGTGTGTGTGTGTGTGTGTGTGTGTGTGTGTGTGTGTGTGTCTATCTATCTATCTATCTGTGCTGAATGTTCTGAAATAGGTGATGCTACAAAAATAGACTGGGGAAAAAAATCAACCAAAATATTGCCTTAAGAATTTGTGTTGATTCACAGTCAGTAAACAAAGCAGAATGTAAATTCTGATGGTGAATATCTAGCTTGTAGGGGTGTAACGATCCATTGATATGGATGATGCATCGATCAAATGTCTAACGATACGATGTATGAATGCCACGCAATTGACGAATATCCTAGTAAACACAGTCGGTTATGTAAACAGCTGAGAAAGAAAACGTATGTGTATCAGTATATTAGATCGGTGCTTCGGTCTTAAAGTGAAAGCAGACTAACAAACCGCTACTGTCAAAGAAAAATAAATCTCTCACTGCACTTGACTGAACAACTTTTGTAACTTTAATAAGGATTAATCTATATTTAATTTATACAGTGAAGACTATGCAGTGTTATTTTACATATAATTATTACATTTCTGTACCTAAAAGCTTCTTTTAGACCTACATGAAAAACCTGAAATGCACTGTTTATTTAATTTGTGTCTTTGTTCTACTGTGTTTATTTTCTGCTATTGCTTGTAATTTGGTTATCTGTAGAAAAGATTCTTAGCACTGAGCCTATAGTAGCAGCCAAAAAGCGTCTCAAATAAAGAATAAGCATTAACAGCTTTATTTTTGTAATTTTTTACATTTATTTTTCTACATTAATGTATTTTTCAACAACTGGAACCTTGTTTTTGTTGTTTCCTAATGAGGATTTACACTATTTTACACATTGCACATTTAAGCACAGAAGCCTGAAAGACTTTCTTGACTGTTGTCATGACATAAGATTACTGATCTCATGTGGGACTTGATTTTTTTCTCAATTATTTATTTTTCTTTATAATTTTTTTAAAAAGTGTAAAATGTTGGTTGCATTTGTGAGTTAATAAAAATGTAGATGGTTGTTTAAAATAGGTACATAATATCGATAAATCAATCAATATGCAATTTAATGAGAGAAGAACAGCATAATGAACATTTATTTTCGTACAATATTAAATAAAAATCACTCTGAAGCATAACATCAAAATGTTTTCTGAAACAGAGAGGTCTGGTCAAATCATTTATGCAACCTATGTCATTTATCAAATGATAGAATTATTTAATGTCATGGTATTGGTATGACATGATATACTACTACATCCAAGGATGTAAATGAATATTGGAATTGATATTCAGTTCATATCATAAGAGCTCTATTGAGAAGATTGGAGGGGAAGGAGAGAGAGAGAGCAGATGAGGTCAGTGTGTCACAGCTAAAGAAATTGGCTTGCTGCCTCTTTCAGATGTCCCCCATTCAGCAGTATGGGTAATTACTGCGTTTTTACAAAATTTTACAGTTAAAATTACACTTATTTTTTACAGTGTAGGTAAATCATTGCTATTTAACAGCTGTAACCTTATATTCTCCCCCACTCTAAAAAATTATGTAAAATTGTTTAACAAAGAAGTGTGATTTCACATACAGTAAATTGCATTATTTTCTTTACTTGTTTATGTCTTTCCTGCAATTAAAATGATATATTCAGTTATATGGGCCCTGATCACCACTGGAGAATTAATGCTTCATTAATTCAAGGTTTATATGATACTATGATTCATTTAAAAACCTAAATCAAACTTTTTTTCAATATTTCTGCAACACTTTATTTTCTTTTTATATAAAAACCTAAACTAAAAAAAGAAAAATATTATGATATTTTCTGGCCTACCAGGCAGGTTGTATAAAATGTTAATGTTTGCAAATACATAAATTTTTTCAAAGTTGTAGTGTTTAGTCATATTTTGAGCGCGCAAAAGTGCGTTTTGCACGCACGTGAACTGAGTTTTGTGGAGAAAATGTTTGTCTCGCAAAGAAGAAAGTATTTTGAGCACACGAAAATCAATTTTGCATTTAAAATAAGTTTTTAAGTGTGTGCAGACCTTCTCTTTTGCGCGTGCAACGTTTCACTAGCTTGCTCACCTGATGCCCCCCTCAGTGCTCTCTAAATGCCAACGGCTCGCTTGCTCAACATAACCCAGCGTTACAATATGCCATAATTCCAGCCAATCAGAGACGAGGCTGCTAAATTCTGATTGGCTGCCTTGACAACCAATCACAACATTCCTTGCATTACCTCGACAGCAGAAGAGGAAATATATATAGGCTTTATAGACAGATACGTTGAGAGTGACTCTTGAAGGACCAGCACCACATCCTCTTGTACCACTGTTTGAAGAATTTATATTCCAGAATCTGGCAGTAAGTTTTGGGAGTTCACTTTTAGTCCATCTCGAGATTTTATCTGTAGAAGATAACCTGCTTAATAATTATGCACACCTGAATATAAGGCGTTTTTCACTACCAGCCTTCATGAACAATAATATGTAGATTATAAGTGATTAAATACAAGATTAATAGTGGTTATTAAGATTGATGTTGTTTGGAATTGGTAAAATGTGCTTGCAAAAAAATATAATCAGAATATCAACTTACTACAACTAATACAATTTACTCAGGCCGATTACTTTTTTTTTTTTGTATGACATTAAAATTATTTTTAGAATATAGGTTAAGCAAAACAAATTAGATTATTTCTGATAACTTTTTAACTGCAGGCAGACATTATGGTACAGTAGGCCTACAAATATTTTGTTGGAGATATGTGAGCAAAAATAATAGATAAAAAAATGTATAATAGAAAGTGCAAAGGCGGCGCTGAAAAGGCCAGTAAAAATTTTTTTTTTTAAAAACAAAGCTGTAGAAAAACATAATGAATTACAAGTCTGTAGAGAACAGTGCGCTATTGCAGACTTATATAGCCTACTGAAGTTTTCATTACATTATTGTAATAGCTATAGTCAGTCGTGAACTAAAGTGGGCCGCTCTGGCATGAAACTCCAGGGCTGAAAATGACTCCCACTCCGGCCCTGACCTAACTACAACCAAAATGCAACGTTGTGAAATGTTGTAATAACGTTTTATGTTTGATTTTCAAAAATTAATTGTACATTGGCCTCCCATCAACACAGATAAACAAATAATTGCCTGCTTTGTCAAGCAATCAATCGGCGGCCATCTGTTTGATCAAGTGTTTTTGTCTGTCTGTTTGTTTCTATCTATCAGGAGTGGCTGGATACGCGGTGTAGAGGGGTCCGCAGCGCAAACACCTACATTCTAGTTTATGACATCTGCTGTGTGGAAAGCTTTGAGTATGTCAAGATGATCCGACAGCAAATTGTGGATAACAGGTAAGATAACAGAGGATAACAGAGCTCATTCAGAACCTGAAATGACTCACCTCAAAGAATAATAGAGAATGATTATCGTGCTATGATAGATCTAATATGTTTGACAGTCCTTCTATTATTGTTAGAATGGGACCAACTGTGATCATTGAAACCGATTTTTCTTAGCTCCTTAGCAGTATGAGGCACATCAGCACTGATGAATGTGACTGTATCAGATGCAGCGACAAACTACTGATTGGATTTTATGTTTTTAATAACATTTGGCCCTTGTTTCCCCAGCTAATGCTGAGATAATGAGGTGACATTTGAGAATATGGATGAGTGACAGTTACAGAGCATAGACACTGTCACAATTCACTACAGCTGATAAGAATATAATAGATGCCAGTGAGAAAATCCTTTTGCATGTGAAGGTCTTGTGCACCATACATAGATGTTGTGCAGCATTGTGCATTTGCATAAAGGTCTTATGTGAACTGAATGAATGACAGAAAATGATCTGCAGTCTCCACCTTTAGCCCTTTTCCCCACCCATAATATCGCACCTCTGTTTTACGAATGCTATTCACGTTCTCACTGCTTTGAGAACACCTCAGTCTTAGTGCAGTCCTTTAGACAATACGATTTTAATGTAGTTTAATGTAGTTTTTAGGAATTCAGTTAAATATATAAAGATTGCATGGAGATGTTTGATGTGGTAGAATATTGAATGTAAGCTCAGTTCACATGCAGAGGGTTTGATATAAGAAGGAAAGGAAGAAGGAAAATTTCACAAAGGTTATTTGACTAAACAAGAGCTTAAAATGTTTGAGATAGTGAGAGGGTAGACAGGAAGCACAGATAAACTGTGTGAAAGGGGGATAAATCAGTGTAAAACATGACACAAGCACCCAGACACAGGCATGAGTGATTGAAGTAGGCTTATTAAACACAATGGCACTGGTCTCTTTGACAGACAATTCACCTCTTTTGTGCTGATATTACTTGCACACATTCTTTTCTTTCTCTCTATCTCTTCGCATATATTGAACATACACATATATATATACAAACCCGATTCCAAAAAAGTTGGGACACTGTACAAATTGTGAATAAAAACAGAATGCAATGATGTGGAAGTTTCAATATTTTATTCAGAATACAACATAGATGACATATCAAATGTTTAAACTGAGAAAATGTATAATTTTAAGGGAAAAATAAGTTGATTTTAAATTTCATGGCATCAAACACATCTCAAAAAAGTTGGGACAAGGCCATGTTTACCACTGTGTGGCATCCCCTCTTCTTTTTATAACAGTCTGCAAACGTCTGGGGACTGAGGAGACAAGTTGCTCAAGTTTAGGAATAGGAATGTTGTCCCATTCTTGTCTAATACAGGCTTCTAGTTGCTCAACTGTCTTAGGTTTATATATATATATATATATAATAGCATAAATCCTCGATATTTTAAAGATTTGAAATGAGTAGAATCAGAATAATAGCAGTGGTATGCTTTTTATATTAAAATGAATCATATGGAATACCCTTGGGTCCTCAATTAAATTTAATGTGTTAAATTAAAGGTTTTAAATATTTATATGTAATTTCTGTATGCATGGGTCCCTTGGTAATTTACTATTATGTAAAGATACTCAATACTATATTAATTGGCCAGATGTTTATTTAATAGCTACATGTATTCAACCAGGCTGTGTTTAACTTTTCTTCTAAGCAAATAAGTGAAACCTTGCATTTTAATTTGAACTCCCTGTGCAACAGTGAATTGGCAATTAATTTCATTGCACTTTTTTCAGTTTAGCAAAATTCACACACACACACACACATGCGCGCGCGCGCACACACACTCACACACTCATGTTTACTTAGCTATCTAAATGGGGACATTCCATAGGCGTAATGGTTTTTATACTGTACAAACTGTATTTTCTATCGCCCTACACCAACCCTACCCCTTACAGGAAACTTTCTGCATTTTTACAATTTAAAAAAAACTTTGTTTACTTTATTTTTATACCAGTTTTACAAATGAGGACGTCCCCAAAGGGAAGTTTTTGGAGATTTTGTCAGGTTTAGCTCACTTTTGGGTACAAATTTGTCCCCAAAATATGGTTAAGTAGGTACACACACACACACACACACACACACACACACATACATTTGCCTTTGAAGCCCCCTGAACATGAAATGCTTTCATTCTTCATTCATTATGTGTGTGTGCCTGTGTGACCTTCAAACACAGTCAAGCACTGAGAAGGGATACACATCATGCATTCTCCTGCACACATTATGAGCTCAGTGCCTTTAGAGTGTGTCAAGGAGCTGAGGGGCTTTTCATGTTTGTGTGTGTGTCTGTGCATGTTTGCTGAAGATATTAGCGTGCAAACATGAACAAATATGGCCAAAATAAATTTCATGTAAGAAACAGATCGATTCTCATGTGGTTGCTTTGTTTCACTTGCTAAATCCCTCTTAAACTTATTTTTTATTGCTCTTCTCACCTGCCATCTCACCTACCTCCCCTCTCTCTGTGTCTTTCTGTGTCTTTCCGTAAGAGTGGGCAGCAGTAGTGAAGTGCCCATCCTGGTGGTGGGCAGTAAGCGGGACCTTCAGCGGCATCGGTTCACCCAGCGCAGGGCCGTGTCTGTACTGGTGAAGAAGACATGGAAGTGTGGTTATGTTGAGTGCTCCGCTAAGTATAACTGGCATGTGCTTCTGCTATTCAAAGAGCTCCTGGGAATAGCCGTGGCACGAGGACTGCGTCCGAACCACACCTCTATCCGTCTCCAAGGGGCATTGCAGAGGAACCGCTGTAATGTCATGTGACGGATATGTAGCCTTTTTTTTAATTGATGCTTATTTAAGACCAGTTTGTGTTATCAGAATCTTAATTATATGATTTTAACTGGCCCTAAGTCAGTATTGAAAGTCAACTTTGCTGTACCACGAGAATGGAGCTTTGGGGACAAACTGTCAATCAAAATGGCTGGAATATTACCACCTAGGGGCCTCTGTAACTGATGCATTCATCTGATGGATTACCTTAGGTACTACTAATTTCACTTTACTCCAGTGTACTCTAACAAAAAAAATGGAAGCAGATAAGTTTTTTTTTCATCTTACCAAAGTCTGACATGGTCTGAGTAAAATATTGCATCTGACTCAAAGAGAGTATAATTTGTCTCCCCTTCCTGCTCAGATTTAAATTCAGATGCTGTGAGTGCAAGTGTACTCCAGTGTGACAGTTTTTAACTGTTGTTTGGAAACAGCCTTTATGAAGGATAAACTTAGGGTTTAGGAATTATGATGAGCGAAAATTTGTGAACCTGTTGGAATTATCTGTAGTGATCCTCAAATTTGACCTAAAATATGATCTGATTTTTCCCTATGCTATAGTATCAATTAAAAACAAATGAGACAATACCTTTTTAAATATTTTTAGAAACTTCCTCTGTATCATGAAATATGTTAATCTTTAGATTACTTTCAGAAGCGCTGACTTCCAAAAAAATCCCTGTGCTGTTACTCATTGGCCAATTTTCCTTTTGCAAAACTGCTTCAGGACATTAATAAGATCCTGCCACAACATTTGACTTCATAAACCACAGACAGAAACCTCACCATTCTCCCATTCCATTTGTAATAATTCAATGGGCCACTTTACACAGACTCTGCAAAAGTGTATATAGTATTCCAACAATGTGATTGGGACAATATTTTTTATTGGAACAGTTTTTTTAATAGCAAAATGGTTTTGTCCATAATCTAAAGGGGTTGCACACTGGACAAGAAGTGCCACATTCACACACACACACACACACACACATAAAATTCACATTGTTTTCTATGAGTGTACACACACCGGTAATATAGATCGCCCTTTTTCTTTACATTTGCTCTGTTTTTTCAAACACCAAACTTTAAACTCAGTGATGCCACTTTGTTAATTCTTGAAGTGAACTTTTGCCTATTTGTTGATTTTTTTCCTTTTGCAAAACTGCTTCAGGACATTAATAAGATCCTGCCACAACATTTGACTTCATAAACCACAGACAGAAACCTCACCATTCTCCCATTCCATTTGTAATAATTCAATGGGCCACTTTACACAGACTCTGCAAAAGTGTATATAGTATTCCAACAATGTGATTGGGACAATATTTTTTATTGGAACAGTTTTTTTAATAGCAAAATGGTTTTGTCCATAATCTAAAGGGGTTGCACACTGGACAAGAAGTGCCACATTCACACACACACACACACACACACACACATACACACACATAAAATTCACATTGTTTTCTATGAGTGTACACACACCGGTAATATAGATCGCCCTTTTTCTTTACATTTGCTCTGTTTTTTCAAACACCAAACTTTAAACTCAGTGATGCCACTTTGTTAATTCTTGAAGTGAACTTTTGCCTATTTGTTGATTAGATTAACTATTTACCAGTGAGTTGTCCTAGACGCAACGTGGCACTGCGCTTCTGGTCCGGTGCACGACTGCCAGCATTCTTACTGATGAGCTGTCCTTCCATATACACCTCTCCAGTTCACTGTGTTGTTCCATGGTGGATGTTTGAACATGGCCAAGAGATGCCTGGAGATCCTTAGCTGTTATATTGGACTTCAATAAATCATGCTGACTTATTTCATTGCAAACTTCTTAGCACATTTGCCAAGATAGGTATATCCCAGCCTACATATATATATATAACTCCATTGCAATTTTGTCACCATATGTCCTGCCAAATCTAGTACAAATGGCGAACATCCTACCTCCTAAATATAGATGACTGAAGAAGTGAGGCACAAAATAATGTCTTCCTGTGGCAGGATAGAGAGGTGTTGTGCAGATTTCAGCAAGCATGTACAATTACTGGCACTCTAGAAGCTGCAAGAAGTGATGATAAAGCCAACAGGTCCCCTGGGGCTTCCCTAAACCTGATGATTTCTGCTGAACCAGGATGCAGAGGAGGCTTACATCCTTTACTGCAGTGGACTGCAGTCTGACAGTGCAATCCACATTCTCTCTGGAGTATTTCTGAATGCAGAATACATTAAAGTTAAAGTGCGTCAGTGTCTGCAGTGAGATTTGGTCGATCTGGGGCTAGTTTTTTTCTATGCTACTCTCTGCTAGTGTAGAGAACAGGTAAATGTTTGGTCCAAGCTTCAATTGAACTAATAGAGAACGTTCTGTAGACATGTGCTGATAGTCAGCACGATTGATTGGCTGGCTGTGTGGAAGTCTTGATTCACAGCTAGAGCTGTCACACTGCTACACCTATTCTGTCACCTACTCTGTTCTGAGGTAATAAAATGTGGAGCTTTGGCACGCAGGTGGAAATTCATTAGACTGAGAAAATGAATGGTACTAGAAGCCGCACACCCGCCCCGAATGCATTCCCATGACAGAAAAAGGTCATATGTTCTAAGGGAAAAAATCAACCTCCTTCAACCTAAAATGCAACTCCGATGGCCATCTATGCACTTGTACACATCTTACATGACGCAAAAGAGCTATGAACCTCTGTCAGCAGATAGAAACATAAATAAGTTAGCAACTTTTTTATCATAGAGAATCTCTTTCTGTTTAATGGAGCTGCATGCTTTAATTGGCAAAACCAAAATCAATCAGGGGTAAATTGCACTGATGTACCTACTGTACGTACCTACATGAGTGAGTACAAGCAGAACTTTGTAACAATACTTGAGCATCGTTTTTGTCTTTTTGTATAATGTTAGTGTGCAATAAGCTTAGCATGTAGTTTAAGTGTAAGTGATTGAGAAACAGTCAGGCTAATGTTATAAAACAGCAGAGAGGGGTTCATACATTTGCATGCCACACAGTGTTAAGTGCTATGGTTGTGGACTGAGGACTAGACGATGTAGCAGAATATGTCCTGTGCTAGTAATGTTAAAGGATTTAGACTGAACATTCAGACATGCTGAATATAGATTGTCTTGGTTGGACTCTGATTTTTTTCTCTCACTTTTTTGGTTTAGATTTTAAAGGGCTACCTGCTTTTTTTTGTCAAATGGAAACAAATGTTTGTTTTCTTTTTAGTAGTTGTTATGTTTCATCAATGAAAAATTAATAAACCCTTTCAAACAATGTCTTAGCTATTTCCCTCTTTTGTTTAATATTTCATATATCACTTTGTGTCTGACATCCCAAACCAACTGCTTGTGCCCCATTTGAAACACCATGGCGCCATCAATTGGTGAACGATCTTTTCTATGAAATATTTTATCACAATACTGCCTTTCCATACTTACCTCGTTCAGCTTTAAAAATTGAATAATAATAATAATTCAGTACAAATGAATGCACTGAAGAACAGAAAAATATGATAGTATTTCAAGAAGACAGTTTTTTCTCAAAAATGTTTTTTTATCTATTAATAAAAATGAATCTGTAAGACCGGTGCGAACTACCAAATAACAATTACAAAATAAATTTGAACAAATTTTACACTTAAGACCTACACAGATAAAAACGCGAATGACACAAGACATTTACTCGTTTCCCAAAATTAATGTGAATAAATATTCCTATTTTCATTATCATAGTCTTTACTGTAGCACTTTGATAAGGTATCCAATGGTACACATACTGTATGCTAAAATGCAGTGAAATATTAAAGTTCCATTCCTCAAATCTGATTGGATAAGCGGTGTTCTAAAAGTGCTGACACGTTCGTTGACGCTAGAAAACGTGAGCAGTCCGGAATGAATGAGAAGCGGGGAACGTTCTCGGTGCGGTGTTTTCTCTTGCGAATGAGATGGAACACTAGTCTCTTATCCAATCAATACGGAACGCGATTTGTCCAGTACTTTCGTTTGTGGTCAGTTTTCTCACTAGCGAGAGAAAATCTGGAGTGGAGTTCAAGTGATGGAGTTATTGCAGAGTACTTCGAGCGGAGACACTCCGCTCCACTTATATTTTGATCCAGTCCGTACGTTTCTTGGCGATGTTTTAGTTTGTAGAATTATTTTCCCTGACAGAACTTACTGGAAACATTTTTTGTCTGAAGCTCAAGTTACTCACTATTAACTATTAGCAGTGGAGCTAATAGAGTCCAACAGCACGTGCTATTGATTACATGTATATTTGAATAACATTAAATTAAATAAATGATAGAATTGTATATAACATATAGAAGTGACTATAACAGTAAGTATTTGAAATAATCTTTATTGCTGAGCGCGTGTTTTGTATTACTCAATACGTATCCTACTGCCTATGTTTGTAATTCATATGAACAGTGTAGCGCAAAATATGACTGACTGGATGAAAACTATGAGCGTAAATAGTGCGCGGGTGATTTTGGAGCAGCGCTCTCCTCTCGCGCCAGTGGTCGTCGCTCCTGCTCTCAAGCTCGCTGCTCTTCATCTCTCTGTCATCGTGGAGAGAAAGAAGGGGAGTGCGCTGTTTCTCTCTCCCTGCCCCAGACCCTCCTCCTCCTCCCCTGGTAGCCCGTCTATCTCAGAGCATCGGCGGTGAGTTTTATGGGGAGAGTGGCCGCTCCCTGCAGTGGCCCCGGCAGGATCGTGTCCTTTCTCACCGCAGTTCCGTGCTTATCCTGCAAACAGCAGCAGCGGCGGCGGCGGCGACATCATCAGTCTGCGGCAGTGGACCGGGGCAGGAGGAGAATGAGCGAGCAGGGCAAGAGTGCTGCGTCCACGCCAGCGAGCGGGACACCAGCCCCGGGCTCGGACACGTACAAAGGCTGGCTCTTTAAATGGACTAACTATATCAAAGGTTACCAGCGCAGATGGTTCGTGCTCAGCAATGGACTGCTGTCCTATTACAGGTAAATAATACACGTTCCTTATGCACCTGTGTTGATG